TTATAAGCTTAATAATCCTGCAGGCAACAGAAATTTCAGTAGAGGGTGAATCAAGTCAGTGTTAACAAAACACCACCCGATCTAATAGAGTATTTACTCGGTTCCTTGATTAGATTTATATTTTGTGGAACTGTATTTCTGATCCATTACATGTGTTATCAAGTTCACAATCTAGTGGGTGTGAAATCGTGTAGACAGAGATATTTCATAGATATGAACTGTTGCCTTTAGGTCAAAGCATAACAAAATCATGACATTGTATGCAATTATACATTATGTTACCATGGGAACCCCAAATAAAAAGTGTCCCCTTGTGTTTTAAAATTGTTATGTTCTATTTTCATTGTTTTTTGTTGTTGTTTTTTAATCATAAATTCATTACATGTAATGAATAAATAAATACAATAAAATTAAAATTCTCTAAGGTGTGGGCTGCCACGGTGTGACAGTATTGGTGCAGAAGAGAGAGTAGGGGCTGCGTACAAACTAGTCCTGGTTTATTTTACAATCCTGTTAAACTTTTGGAATGGCAATAGATCTTATACATTGACAGGGGGCTGCAGCAGAGCATGGTCGCAGAACCTCACCTGGTAATTGACACCATTAATGAAAATACTGATTCAATAATATTCATGGCACACTGCACTATACAGTCTCGGCATGAATGTAACAATGCATAGTCGTATGAAATCTGAATATTATCTGAGAGAGCTCTCACTATGTCTCATTCACATATGTCGCAGCTATTTGGCAGTGCATGAMACATCAACAAATTAACATGAATATATAATTCACTTAAAGAGGATAGTCCATGAGTGGCCCTAGAGAAATATTTTACATTTAACTGTCTCATACACGTCTCTAATTCCCCTGAGTGAGACACGTCAACTCAWWAGGGACACAAAGAACATGCCGAGTCAAGGAAAGCTGGCAAATATGGACAGTGACTATACATGGTAGCTTATAGACCCCTTCTCCATAGCCAAATGATGATCATCATGATACATGTATTAATAATTATTTTTCAATATGTTGTACAGTCTCATCTTGTTCTATGGCTAATCGTGTTCCTCTACTAAGAACAGTCATGTAAAATTTATAGTCCATACGAAAATTGAAATGTTTCTTGATAGAAATGAGCCTCTTCTGCTCAACAAGGTTATTGTTGTTCAAAAGAGATAAGTACAGCATTGGTCTTCTGTCATTCATAGATTCWACAGCTGGTTTAGCATAATGAAGGGAGAARATTTTACCAAAGAAAGTTTGTGTTGTTCTGTGGTTGCAAAGTTCACCRTGTGAATGCCAGATTTTAGTTGCAGGGTCGTAGGCAAATAAACTGTGTACATTACGAGTCCTTGTTTTCAACCAAACACAGATCTGGTCACCCAGTGTGACAGCATGTAAGCAATATAAGTCTTCCCAAGGTGTTGTCAAGGGTGTCCATTTGTCTGACAACAAGTCGTAGACCTCACTAGAGTCTTTACCAAATACGTACACGTATCTRTTCTTAAAAGACACGGCACAGTCTGTTAGTGATGAATGAGTCATGATAGCTGGTTGGACGTCTTGCCAGTGATCTTTAGCTGTATCATAGCGGTACACACTGGATGCAGCCATAACAGTATCTTCAGCGCTACCTGTCCACTTCATCCACCTTAACCCCCTGATGAAGAATATGAAATGACCACACGGAACAGAAATGTAGTCATTTAGTGMATTACTATCAAAAAATGGAGTGCAGACTTTGAAAGCCTGTGTAATCAAATTAAATCGAATATTGAATGACGATGTCCAATCAACCCCGCCTGATCTCAAGGCTATTCCCAAAATGAACACTTCGTTTCCAAAGGGTACTTCTTTTTCAAATGAAAAGACGTCTTTTCCTTCAAGTGAATCTAAACAACTTAGTGCATTGCATTTAGT